ATATATATGAACCACATTTGCAGCTGCCTCTTGTATGTTATGTGAGATATCACTCCTAAGCAGCAATAATGACTCTTAAAGACTTAACTGTTTGTCAAATCACATTGAACATTCTTTACATATTATCTCATTTAATTGTGTCATTAAACCTAAGACACGGGCACTGTGTTTAAACCTGTTTTTTCAACTGGGAAACTGAGTCACAGAAAAGCTGATCAGTAACACTGACATTGCTAACAGAAGATACTGGTTGTGTGTGCACTCAGACAAATGGATTCTGAACCTAGCATTCCAACCATTAGGCAACCCTGTCTTTCATTCTTCTGTGAGGAATAAAATAATTTTTAAAGGGCTCCAGCTAAACTGACTTACAAACTCAAAGCAGTATACATGATGCTACCTAGCAAACAAAGGACTGTGAAACCTGGTTCACCCTGCCAACGAATTTTTTTTTTTTTTTTAAGGTAGAGTCTCAAGCACCCAGGCTGACCTTGAACTCTTGATCCTTCTGCTTCTATCTCCCCAGGTCAGGGATTACAAGTCTCTGCTACCACACCTGGTTTATGTGGTACAGGGGATTGAACTCAGGGCTTCCTGCATATTCAGTTAGTACTCTACCAATGAAGCCACACCCCCGGGTCCAATATGATTTAATTCGTTCTCTGCACAACCCACCACAAAGTGATGGGTAGGACCACAAGAGTTCCATAGGACCATAAGGGTGAAACAAACTGGAAAAGCACAGATTGTTAAGAACACCTTCCAGCGATGCTTACTTTGAAAATTATCCACGGAAAGAAGAGAATCCAAAACCCACACTTATAAGTGCTTTGTTAAGAACTAAATACAGCTGAAAACTGGCAGAGAGCTAAGGGAGGAGTGGTCAAATCTGTTAACAGCGCCCCTGTGTTTCCAAAGAGCTGTGATGGTCGAAGGTTTATTCCTCTGCATGTGTCTGCTGTCCATGTGAACTTTCCAATCAGAACAAATGAAAGGAGAAATACAGTTTCCTGAGGGAAACATAGATAGCTAGGAAAGGGAAGCCTGAAATGGGAGTATAAAGAGGGGTTGGGGTAACCAAGAGAAAAAGTAAATGTTTTTGGGTTTTTTAACAAAATCCTTAATGCTCAAAGTGTTAGTGTCAGTCTAGAAAAATATATTCACAGATCAGGCGTAACCAGTCCAGAACACAAGGATGTCCAAATCAATACCTGTGTTCTAGAACTATAGCTGAGGGGCAGTGAGGCCTGGGGAGTCCTCACTCACTGAGGAAAATATGCCTTGGGGACCACGGATATGACCAACGACGATGTGTTGATTGTTGCAAGTTCTTCAGAAATAGTGCACAATCTAGAGATACTACAGTTCAGAGAGCCATGCTGATCAGTGAGGAACAGCTGATCTTCCTAAAACAAGGGACTCTAGACATCTGACTAGACCTCAGTGGATGGACTTGCACTGGGAAATGTCTGTGGACACTGACTTGACACAGTGGGCCTTAACAGGGATGACAGAGTATATGGGCTCTAGTGGGGGGTTATGGGAGAGTGTTGGTATAAAGGGGTAAAAAGATGATTAAGATTTAAAAATATTTTACTATGTCTCCAAATTTTTTTTTTAATTCTGAAGAGTGAAGTAATTCTATTCAAGTGAATTCTAAGGTAGCGTAGTTTGAAAAATTTGTATTTTATTTAGGTCACTAGAGTTCTGGACTAAGGACATGTAGACTATAAGGCTCTGGTTTCATATCTACAATCCTAGTAAAAGCTAGAATTTCCAGTGAGACCAGGAAGACCATTCAGACAAGAACTTAATGGCCCTAAATCTGTTGCAAGAGCCAGTCTTTGTAATGCCTTTTGTGAAGCGTTCCTGTTTTCAATAAGGCCCAATAAGTGGCTGTCTCTCTGTTGAATTTTAATAACGTTCCCTCCATATCTCTAAACCAGCAAGTCTCCCACTCACATTTCTTTCTAATTGTTCCTTTTTCTTTTTTGCCTCTCTCCCTTTCTAGCTCTGAGCGACTAAAATGATCTCCCCTCTTTCATCATTGATTCTCCAGCACTTACTATGCACTTTGTTTGAAAGAATGAAAGATTCAGTGAATGAGTGAATAGAGCAACTAGTTACTGAACTGGTGCACTTTTCTGATTATCTGGCTGCTACCACACTGCCAAAATCCATTGTATTTTTTTGGATGAATTTACCTAGAATTTGTAAGCATAAGGAGTGGGGTGGAGCCAAACTTATCCTAAAGAATGAAATAAGCATAAAAAACAGTACAATAATAATGTGGGTGTTTTTTTTTTTTTTTTACCCTTTAACATTTTTTTTCAGCTAATGTTTATTGAAGTCCAGAAATGCTATTACACCCATTTTGCAGATGAGAAAAATTAGGCCACATAAAGGTTAATTACCCCAAATCTATGATCTTTTATGAGACAGAGCAGGAATTTGATCCTTAACCCATTAACTCTTAGTCACACAGTGAACTGTGTTGCTTACAGGAATTCTTCAGTATTAGGAACCAGGGGGAAAAATTCTTAGAATCTAGGGCACAGGAACAGCAGGCATCTATCTATAAATAAAATAAGTCCCTTATTCTCACTCACAACTGCATAGATTCACATGAGGATCTTCCCAAACAAGTTTGATACCGAGTCAAAACACAAGGGTATGGTGGTCCTGTCAGTTCAGCAACAGGAAAGCCAGTCTCTCCGTCCACTCTGAATGATTAGTCTTCTGTCAGATCACTTGTTATACACCTTGACTATCACCCTTACTATAAAAAAAAAGTAATATAAAATAAAAAATACAAAGCTAATTCCTCAAAACACCAACAGGCAGGTTTTCATAAGAACCCCTATGATAGCAAAGTAATGGGGAAGTGTTCTCCAGCCCTGTGTCCTGAATACTGTGTGACTCGGCACACTGAGAGATGGGCAGGGTACTCTATGATCTGCCCTGGTGGTTGCAGGGATCAAGACTACCACTAATACTACAGAAGTAGCAGCTGTGCCTACAAGGGAGCATTTTGTCACATTCCCAGGAGCAGAACTCAAAGCCCTTTAGCCAACCCTAAATGGCAATGACATTCACAGAAGATAGAAATACAACATGGGGCTAAACAAAATGATGCAGCATTTTAGTTCGTAACTGACAGCACTTTATAGGTACATGGTAAATATTTCTTGATGAGGCTACTTGAGAAGACACAGCAGTAGATGAGACGAAGGCTAGTGACACGGGCAGATAAGGAAACTATTATTTAAATGTAAGCTTGCCCTCTGATGGGAGAATTTCCTAGTAATTGGTGAGTGTCTTCTTGCTAAGCTAATTTTTAATTATAGCAAAGCAAACTAGAAATAGCTGAGGCAGAATTTGTTCTAAGGAAGGACAGGCAGACTAAGAGACAGAGGGAAAGATCTGGAAATGGAGACTTGGAATGAAAGAAGTTGGCAGGGTCTGTGGAAGTAGAGTCAAAACTGAGAAGGACTTGTGGCTATGTGGCCACAGTAGACTGGGGAAGCTGTATCAAGTAGGGTGATGCGGGGGTAAAATGATGTTTCCTGTGAGATAACACGGTATTTCCTGTGAATGAGGAGAACCATTGGTCCTTCCACACAAGAAAAAACTCACATGTGGGTTATATACTATAACCGTGAGCACAAACTCATTTTTCTATGTTTGTTTTTATAGTAGATCAGGGGTTCCAGTGCTAAAAATGTGTCTTTCTTGTTGATAACTG